TATGAAATCAGTAGGTGCATTATACAGATTACAAAGAGAAACATTGTAGAACCTATGAAATCAGTAGGTGCATTATACAGATTACAAAGAGAAACATTGTAGAACCTATGAAATCAGTAGGTGCATTATACAGATTACAAAGAGAAACATTGTGGAACCTATGAAATCAGTAGGTACATAATACAGATTACAAAGAGAAACATTGTGGAACCTATGAAATCAGTAGGTGCATTATACAGATTACAAAGAGAAACATTGTGGAACCTATGAAATCAGTAGGTACATAATACAGATTACAAACACAAACATTGTGGAACCTATGAAATCAGTAGGTACATAATACAGATTACAAAGAGAAACTGGGAGAGAAACATGTTTGAATTTTAATAATTTTGTGACTAAATTTGATATTGTAAAGACATTTGTTTTTTCACATTTACCATAGTAAATAAGTATATACATTGGAGTTCAATAAAAAAACTTCAGTCTTACAATTTAAATTTTTGCCTAGAGAATTTATGCAATATCGTGATTTAAATTGAATGAAACTTAAAATCTCTTTTCACACACCCCTACTCAATTTTATTATGAGTCTTGTACCCTTTCATAAGGAATTTACTGTAATGTAACCAAATTTATCATTCATTTGGGAATCAACCAAAATGTATGTCCTTCCTGATCTGCCAGCATCTTCTAACTTTATACACATAGCTAAAAACCACTTACTGTTTTAACAGAAGCAACAACTCTTGAGAAAAAACAAGCATTTTATACCCAAGGCTAACAACTAATCATTAGGGGATACTAAAATTCACTACTAGTTAACTTTCCAGAAGAAGAGGATATCAAGTATAAATGAATCTTATTTGACATGCATGGAATGCTCTAGGAAGAAGCTTAGCAGGATAATTCATCACCAAAGAGTACAGATGAACTATAAATATCTCTAATAATTGGGCCACCCGACCCCAACAGCTCATTGATATTTATTTTAAACATAGCACATCAAGGAATGACTTGCATTAGAGTTCAAAGTTTTCATATGCCTTATTAACCATGGTATAACATTAATGGTTGCTTGATTGCTTAGAGGCAGGCTAATTAACTTTAGTTAATGGTTGCCCTGTTTGGCAAATAAATATACTTCCTGTGTCTGGATATTGATCATGAAAAAAGTATTTAATATATCAAATTGGTCTTTCAAAGTGTCATTCTGAAATATCAATCACTGAGTGTTTTCTCCATTGGGAATGTCCTCCAGAATTCCTGGTTTTCAGTATTAACCAGTGTCTATGTTTGTACCCATGCAAAATTTGTTCTTTGTACCACAGTATGTACATGTACATTGCATTGATATGTTCTTTGTCCTCACTGTAGACTTTTCCCAGGCAATCTATAGGACAAGTTCATGTATGGGAAGTAAAATTCAATAATTATTGTTTCACACTGGTAACAAAAACTGCTAAGCTGCAAAGTCTATAATAACAAATAAACAATTGTGAACATGTGCGCCAGTAGTAGACATGTATACAACAGATCACCTGACTAGTCACTTAACACTTGCATTGCATAAAAATAAACTAACAGATGCTGCTGGTATTTGAAAACTGATTTGAGTACTGTAATTCTATTTTTACATCAAACATTTTAAACATACATAATTTGTCACTACCACTTAAATTCCCTAATTCATGGTTTCCCAAAGTGTGTGTTGCAACCCTATTGGGATTGCAAGCACTCTGTATAACATCTACCATAAAATTAAAAAGAATATATATATATATATATATATATATATATACTATTTATTATATTTACTAATAAGAATAAATAATTAAATTATTATATATTCATAGCAGCCATGACAAATATAGTTTAAAATAACTTATAGTGGATGACTGTTTCTGCAA